AATGGGATTAGTGCCCTTGTAGAAAAGGTCCCAGAGAGCTCCTATGTCCCTGCCATCATGTGAGGACCCAGCAAAAGACAGCCAGGAAGTGGGTCCTCACTAGACACCCAGTCTGCCAAGCCTTGATCTTGGACTTCTCAGTCTCCAGAAGAGGGAGAAATCAATTTCTGTGGTTTAAAAGCCACCTAGCCACTGTGATTTGTTATAGAGGCTTGAATGAAGTAGGACAGTGTGTGTGTGTGTATGTGTGTGTGTGTGTAGATTGTGAACTCTCTTGCTCCTCACACTGAGTATCATTCTGGAGGACCAGGCAGTAGCACAACAAACACCACAGTCTTAGAAGTCTTTTGTCCATCACTGTAAAGAGTGCTGCATAATTAAAGACTATCAGATCTTTAGTAATTACCATCTTTTAAAAATAATATTTATTGAATAAGCAATGGGTGGCAAAAAAGCCCCTCAGCAGACCAATATGTAATTCAATGGAGGTCTATTCTGTTGGTTTCCAAATCCCGTATAACAAACTCACTACAGTGGCTTTGAATATAGAACAGAGGTTCTGATTCAGGAGCTTCCCTGTTACGCCCAAAACTCCAGCCCATAGTCTGGTACACTGGCAATGCTCTTGTGAAGGTGAGGGGCACACCCATTTTGTAAACTTCAGCAGTCAGTTTTCTAAAATGTATGGATGTGTGTACAGCCATTAAATGTATAGCTTTGGGCACATTCTTCAGAAATACTCCTTAACTAGGAAAATCACATATAGAAAAAGTGATTGCGCCCATTAATCATATCCTATTCCTCTTAGCATAAAGATCTCCCTCAATCGAGAATCTAGATCCAAAACTCTTCATTATGTTCTTTCTCAGACCATCTGCTGCCCATCTTTAAATTCCACTGAAGATGTAAAATCAAAACATATTTTGACAAGGCAAGACCTTGTTACAGGTGCTATAGATGGGATAAAGTATAAAGCTACCATTCAAGGGTTCATAACTTAGTTACTAGGATTCTCATTTCTTTAGGGCTGATGGTTCTTCTCAATCCAGTGATCAGTCTGACATATGATGAGTAATCGTGAGTAATCATAATGAAACCACTTTGTCATTTGCCTACTGCCCTTGATCGGCCTCATCACAAATGTTATCTTTAGGCATCTGTCATCGTACTGCCTGGCAATTTAGGATGTGGCCTTTCTCATCATGGATCCAACATTTTAAATGAACGTGTCACTAATGTCAACTTTACTGGAGCTTTCTTCAGTGAGTGAAACAAAAGCCAGTAAGATAGGATGGAGTAGAGATACACTGCTCCTGTAGAATTTCTTTTCTTTTCTTTTTTTTTTTTTGTCTTTTTGAGACAGGGTCTCACTATGTAGTTCAGGCTGGCCTTGAGTTCACTTTGTAGCCCAGGTTGGTCTTGAACTCACAGCAATCCTCCTGCCTCAGCCTCCCGAGTGCTGGGATTACAGGCGTACATCACCACACCGGGCAGAATTTCCAAGCTTTTAGTGAACAGCAGGGTCCTCCTTATCCACAGTCACTTCCTGTGGTTACAGTTACCTACGGTCAACCATGCTTGGAAAACATGAAATTGAAAATTCCAGAAATCAAGCAATTAAAAAAAAAAGAAATTAAGCAATTTGTACTTTTAAAATGTTTTATTACTATATACTGTAAGAATTATTGTTTTACTGTTATTTTTTATTGTGCCTAATTTATAAACTTTATCATACTATAGGTACAGGAAAAACACGGTCTAAATAGGGCTTAGTACTCCTCATGGTTTCAGACCTCGGCTGGAGGTCTTGGATTACAACCCCACAGCTTAGGGGGGCTCTTGCACAGCTATCAGAATAACGGCTGTGCAGTATCTACGGAGTGGTCAGTTTCTTTATGCTTTCTGGAAATTTGTTTTTTTACATTTGCAGCTCCACAAAGGCTGTCACCATTGCCAAGTTGTGGATGCCAGCCTGGCACCAAAGTGAGACTTGACATCTCACTTCTTCCAGACAGAAGAAAAATCCATAAACTTGTCTTCCTTCCTATATGGTTTATTGGGTACAACTTGCTGGCACAATTTGCTTTCTAAAAAGTTACAACTAAAAGCACATTGCATATTCATTGCACCATACCATTTGAATATGGTCATATTTCTTCCTTGCTAAGTGGACTGCAATTGAATGTTGGGAATTAGTCAAATCTAATTATTCAGATATGAAAGTTAAGCTACTAAGACTGCAACTGCAAGTTTAATAAAATGTGTATGTGTATGTATGTGGTTAATAAACAGTCATCCTTCCTGATTTAGTTGTCTTCTATTTAGTGTTGGTTGGAGATAAGGGTTACCCCAACCAGATAAATACCTTGCTTCATAAATGCAAATCCATGCTGTGCAAAATGACCTACGAATGGAGGAAAGGAGCGAATAACCAGAAGATTGGGCCAGGGAGCTCTGCCCTTGAGAGGCAGAAGGAAAGTGGCACGTGTTTGTGAGTGTGCCTCTGCTGGAGTGGCATCTGTTTTCCTCTCATCTGAGAGCTGTGTGTTCAGCAGGTTGGCCCTCTGCAGAAGGTCATTGCTCTGGAAGAAGGCACTTGTCCTCTGAGCAACAACACAGCTTCCTTTGTTTGAGGGAAGGGTTTTATCACCATGTTTGTATGAAGGGAAGGTTCAAGGGCCCACAGGTGTTTGTTACTTACTTCTTTCCAAGGGGAATTCTGTTAAATTCTTCTTTCTCAATGGACTTTCTGATATGTTCCAAAGAATGGGTGAAAATGTAACCCACACTTGGATGCTCTAAACCTGACGAGGAGAATATAAATTGCTATTCCTTAATCTTCCTATAATGCTGGTCTAAAATGTTCTTGAGAGATAAAAATGGAAATTTTATAATCCCTTCTTATGTAGTCTTTTTTTTTTTTTTCCTCCAGTACCGGGAACCGAACTCACGACCTTGCACTTGCCAGGCAGGCGCTTTTGCCGCTGAGCTAAATCCCCAGCCCCATAGTCTTATGGTTTAGGTCTAAAATGTTCCCCCAAAAGTCTCATGTGTTCAGAGGCGGGGACTTTCAGAAGATGACTGGACCATGGGAGTCCTGTACTCATCAGTAGATTAAGCCATGGATGTGTTAATGGTTCCACATGCTGTTAGGAGGAGGGTATATCTTTCTCTCTGGGTCTTCCTCTTCTGACATGGGTTGAGCAGTTTTTCTCTGCATTCCACTATTTCATTTCTGTTTTGGAGCCAGCTGACCATGGACTGAACCCTCTGAAACCATAAGCCTAAATCAACCTTTTCTCCTTTAAATAGTATATATCAGGCCCAGCAATGAAAAGTGGCCAATATATCTAGCAAGAGACCAGAGTGTTGGGGCTAGAATATAGCCAAATCAAAGTGATTCTTAGGCTTTGAAATCTTTAGTAATTTAGACTATAATCTGACCACTGCTTTTCTTTTTTTCTGTTGTAACTAAGGCCACCTTTGCCACTCAACCCACTGATGACCAAGTTCTCTTTCAACAAGGAAAGTTCAGTCACAAAAAACTGGTTTGACAGTTTAACTAACAGATCCAACAAATGAGACCCCTACAATGTACACAAACAGACACTGCCAATGCCTTAGTTACATGTTCTTGGGGAATGAAAAGTCAGCATGTGATACAAAAGGATTGATGAGGAAAGCAAGGCAAGAGCTAGGCTACCTGAAGTTGTTTTATAAGATTCTACTTCACCTCTGTCTAAATATATGGGCATTTTATAAGGATACGTTTATTCCAGTCCCAGAAGCATTTCCTAAAGTCAGCCTAGGTTCTTTGAGACAGTATAGTCTCTGCAGGAAAAATCAACAAACTCACTCATCCAACTCTTCTATAGCTCAAAGTCCCAGCAATACACTAGAATGTAGAGCATTTCTAGTCTTCCCAAGGTGCCTCAACACTAGCGATTCCATCTGGGTAAGACGGGTGTGCACCTGGAACGTTGTCAGGGTGCAGTGTAACCTCTTACTGTGGCCCAACATTAGGACATCCTGAGGCACCAAGAGAAGGTCTATTCTCAGAAAAGCAGGTGTCAGGGAGTAGGCAAGGGGGAAACAAAGGAGGTATTTCCAACAAAAATGCCCAGGAGTTGGAAGTCTTGAAAGATGATCTTGGACCAACTCCGAGAGGATGGTGGGCTCCACCAAAGCTGTAAAAATTCCTGCCATGTTTACTTATTTAAGGCATGTACTTACTGTTTGTGAGGAGGCAGAAGTTGAGAGGTGTGCACTGAACAACATAAGGACACAAAAGTTGGGACATGCAGAGGAGGAGTTGGGGACAGGATCCAGCCTGGCCAGGTTAGAAGGGACCCGAGTCCATAGGTACCAGTGAAGAGCAGCTATCATATAAAGGAAGTTTTCTGAGGAAGTTTCATCTGTTGTTATTCTTGTTAAAAACATTGGGGCTTTTCTAATAAACCCCCAAGGTCTGAGTGGTTTCAGCCTAGCCCAACCCGAACCACAGGGAAACTGTAGATCATCTTCCTGAGTCTCAATTTTCAAAATGAAGCCACGTAACTGGTGAGAATTTTTATACACTTAAACAAACCATCTCTTTTAGAGTAGAACCCATAATCCATGCAAGATTTTATGAAAATATATCAAAGAAATACTATTTGGCTCTACCAGCCCCTCTGAGCCGGCGGCTTACTATAGATGCCACAGCTGTTCACAGCCACAAGGACGGTGTCAGATGGGAATGGAGAGAGACATTAGCAGAGACTGGAGCAGGGTGGCAAAGTAGCGCAGACCTTCTGACAGCAGAGACCAGCCCATTAAGGGAAAGGAGCCAGGCCAAGCTGGTCCCTGGGCAGGGGACACTAATCCCACCATCTCCCCAGAAGGGCCTGCAGCTGTCTGGATCTAAGAAGCTTGCAGGGAGGGCTCCACTTAGCAACGGCATCCAAGGAGAATGTTTTAGGTAAGACTTAGAAACTTCTTAAAATAAACAAACACTCAAATTAACTAGACCACAGGGCTCCTCAAAGCTTTTATTGTTCCTTTTCTATTTTTTTCCTGCACCAGTACATTGCCTGGCACACACTGCCAGGTGGGCATTCAAAAATCTGGGATTCTTTTAAATGAGCAATTTACAACACTGGGAGGATTAGATTTCAGAAGTATGTTTCAGAAAATGTGATTATTCCGGGAAGGGGTTTATTCCCCTTGATTCTGGAAAGAGAGGTTTCGTCCTCATCTTTTAAGCCACCTCAGACAGATGGCAGAACATCTTAGATAACACTTGAATGCTTTGAAAGGGCAATTAAAAAATTCTCAAGAAATTCAAGGGCCTTCACAATTGCTGAAAAGACTGTGGCTTCTGCAGCCCAGAGCAGCTTCACAGTATTCAGGGGACACGCAGGGACCAAGGGGTCACCAGAATAGCTCCCCTGATTGCTTCTGCAAGTCCTCTGGCAGAGGGCGGGCTAACAGGCAGGGGCCTTGAACTTGTCCAGCTGGCCCCAGGCCTCCCACAGTGGCCAGTGGTTTGGTGACTGGAAACACTGCCTCCTTGGGTTCCACCAGACAGAGCAGCAAGGACCAATCAGGCGTTCAGTGACATCATCAAAAGACAGGGTGCGCCCCTCCCCCACTTCATCACCTGGTATTTGACGCACACACTGCGTGGACAGAGCGCTCACCAACTCAATTACTTTCTTAAAATAAACATCATTTCATACAATTCTCTTGGAAAAGTCTTTCCAACTCCATTCTTAAATGTAACTTATAAAATGTTGTGCAAAAAACAACTACTGTCGTCAAATAAATAGAAAAATGTGGGAAGAGCTAAACTTTGTCTTTGTTCTCTTTAAATTAAAAGTTAAAAACACCAGCTGCACTTCCAAGTATTCGCAGGATGAAATGCATCCAAAAGACAATTCAGACCAGTGCTCGGTCCCCACTGCATTTCCGAGAGGTCTGCCCTGCTCAGAATTCACAGTGGACGCCCCCGCTGAGGTCTGTCACCACGCCCTCTTTGACCAGCTTCTTGAGGAACTTGGTCTCCGTTGTCACATTGTGCATCGTCTGCCAGTTCATGGCAGCCATGCACAGATTGTCAAAGTAGTGCAAAGGCGTTCTGGGTTGACTGAGGTCGTATCCAAAACCTGCCAAGCTGACCTCATCACACAGATGTGTGGCTAACACCACAGCAATAATGCCGATCGTGGGGATGTTCTGAAAAAGAACAAACACCAATGTTAAAAAGAAAAAAAAAAAAACATTTTAACAGAATTTGCTGCTTTGCAGGTACTGGATATGTTATAAAAACTGCACTGGGGCCTCCAGTTTTATATATCATGTAATTTTACCTATCTGAATTTTAGAGCCTAACACTCTATGCAAGTTAGGAATCTCTAAATGTAGTTTAAGATGTGAATAATTTTAACAAACCCTGAAGAGGGTGTGTTCTTATGCCAAGCTTTTGCTTTTTTAGGTGTTCTTTCTAAAGCTTCTACCCACTGGCCCTAAACTTTTTTTTTTCTTTTTTTTTTTTAAGACACAGGTGAAGCTATGGTATTTAGACCAGGAAGCCACAGGTATGTAATAAAGGCATCATCACTCTGCCCCCTGGTGGCAGCACACGACAATTGCAAGTTAATAATCTAAAGTAACGGACAACCCAAAGCGTAAAGATTCTCATATAAGGCCACAAAATAAAATCATGTGGGGAACTTAAAAATTGGTGGTGCATGCTTTTAATCTGAGCATTTGGGAGGCTGAGGCAGGAGGACTGCTGCAAATTCAAGGCCAGTCTGGGCTACATAGTGAGACCCTGTTTTTTTTTTTTTTATTTTAAAGATAAAAGGAGGGAAACATTAACAGACATACAACATTTTACAACATATCACAAGCACAATACAGACAATACAGAGTTACAAACAAAGTGGTAGGGAATTAACAATGGTGGTTGTATTACATATTGATATCTTCAAAGTGGCTTCTCATGGAAACAGATATAGACATGCAGTACTGGTCAACCAAAGGCTCATTGACAGTGAGACCCTGTTTTTTAAAAAAATTTCTATTGTATAGATTGTAGTACAGACTAATTAAACAAGAATTTCTGATGTAGGACCTAGGCATCAACTGAAAAGCACGGTTCTAAAAGACTGACTTTATTTAGCATCATTTATAGAGTAACCATAACATCAATTTTTACCTCAGTAAACCACAGAATTAAATGTGAAGAGTTTTTCAGACCAACAAAGTGCCTATGAGTGTCCTGCAGTTAAATGGAGTCCTGGAGTATGAATACCTTAATTAACACCTTGGAGACGTAAGTGTCTATGTACTGACCATACCAAAGTGCAGAGGCGTGGGGGAGCAGCTAATTAAACCATGAGGAGCCCCGAAGCCAAGGTATAGAAGGGTACACACACGTGGGGTGTCTAACTGGGGACTGGGTTTCTCCACTGGAGGTGCTCTGGGTCTGCAGTCATGCCCCTGTGGATTCTGAACCCGATTCCCTTTGGAGATAAAGAGGAATACAGTTAACTTTGACTAGTGACAGAAATACCTTATCTCGGCCCCAGAATCTGGACTGAGGCTCGGAGTACTGAAGGATGTCAAAGGCAGTTTCTCTGATGATAACTGGGTTCAAAATCCTAAAGTGTTTCGGCTGTAGTGGGATTTTTTCCGCCACCTGCTTCCAGAAGAAGAGCCGGATCCAAAATGGCTAAGGAAAGCGAGCACGCAGTCATTAAGGAGAGTTAATAACGCTCTCCCATCAGCGGAGATCAGAGAGCATTCCCTGCTAGTTAGGCCAAGGTCATGGGTACAACCCCACGTAACCCTGTGCCCAGCATTCTGCAGCACAGTCATTAAGATCTCGGAAATTCGGCACCTCAGCTCAAAGAGGCAACTCTGAAAGATACAATTTACACTCACTCTTGTCCAGGTGGCACCGGACAAGGACAGAAATTATAGGGCCAGGTCTTGTTTGTTTGTGGAAGAAATGTCTCAGGAAGATTTTTTAGGGTCTACAGCTTTCATGTTGCTAAACACACAGGTCCAACTTAAAGGTGTTAAGTACCGTGAGTGCCCTGCCAGATGGGCCCACCTTGCACCCTCTCTCCATTGACTTTATTTTCTCACCCGGTAAGGTTGCTAGGCAACTGGCTATAAATCACTCCCTATGCACTTCACTTTCCCACTACAATGTCTACTCAGTAGAAAACCCTGAAGATCATAACCTGTACAGAATCAAGCTCTGGAGATGTAAATTCTCCACCACACAGAGATTATGTGAAAAGTCCAGTATGTCCTAGGAGTTTCACAGGCAGCTAATTTGTGCACATGTCTACCAATGCACAATAGGCCTCCACAGCTGAGTGCTGAAATTTATTTCAATACATTGGGTGGACTTATAAAGTAATGTTAACTGATCCCCATAAAGACTAACAGAAGGAAGACGAGCAAAGGAGGCCATCGCCTCCATATTTGGCCCCCTGGGATGCTGTGGATTTAGTCCAACAGCGGAGCACTGACTAAAGCATTTTGGAGAAGGTCTTTGGGATTTTTAGGTATATTTTTCTGAATATCTTAAAAATGGCTTACATTTATCCAAGTAAATCTCATTTTTGGAACTAACCAAAAGCCATGCAAATCCAAGTCTGGAGGATAAGGTGATGGCCAACCTCAATAGTAGAAATTTTGGTCCCAAAGTTGGTATTCCCATTAAATAATGATCATCATTTTTACATGTAGCTCTAATGTTCTAAAACTAATTCACAGCAAGGAGTTCTGAGGGATTTCTAAAATGAGGGTGGCTATCATTGGAAAAAACAACACAAAAGCATGCCTCTCGTTGTGCATGTTTAAAAACAAAAGACTGTGAACATAACTAAAGACCCCTCACTTTTACCAAGACACACTTGATGGATGAATTTCTAGTGCTTACCAGGGTTTCACGTTTTAGCATTGCTTGAAGCCAAGTGAAATCAACGCTCTTAAAGAGAACAGTGACGAACAAGTCGTTGGCATAATATTCAGCATCAGACAGCGGCGCACCCTCTGGATAGGTCATCCTTATAGTAGTTTTATTTCCAACATGCTCGGAATATCCCTCAACTGGTGCACTGTTTAACCTAGTGAAATAAACAGGAGAAAGATGCACTGACAAAACAAGCCACCAACCCTCTCACCATACCACACAACATCCCATGTCACGTTCTCCCGTTTTTGAGGACCAGGAAGTGGGATGTGGCTGGGGTAGCTGGCTTTTCCCATCAATCTTGCTACCCGGCTCTGTCCTTTCCAGGTATTTGATGAATGTAGCCTCTGTCCACACGGAGAGCTCAGATCTAACTGCTGGATGGTGAGCAGTTCCCAGTCACCCTGGCATTTTAGGTCAATCCACACACTTTACCTCTTGGACATTCTCTGAGTGCCGGTGAAGTTTCCTTGAGAACTTGTCACTGTGCTCAGGTAACTAGTGGTTCTTGTTAGGATTTCAAAGAGGGAACCAGAAAGGAGCATCCTGAAACCAGAGCCGGGCAGGTACAAACTGCAGTTCTCTGAGGGGGTGCTGAGGAGGGGGCCGGGCCTCAGGTGTGGGGCTCGGTTTCAAGGCAAAACTTGAGGTGCTGCAGTGAAGGCTTTACCAGAGTGGTAGCTTTAAGGAAATCTTAAAGAGTTCCTTCAAAAACAGTGTCACTAGCCCAGTTATACTCTTGAAACTTCAAGAAAGCCCGTTTCTCCCTCGATGTTACCACACTGCGTATAGCCTTTCTTTTCTATGCACCTGGCCTGGACGCTGGTCCTTCGCCTCTGTCTATGACGCTGGCTAACGTGTGGGTGTCACTCAGTGGGCTAGATAAGAAAGCACGGTACACTCCAGGCACACCCCTCACCCTGAAAGGCAGCCGCCACAGGCTGTCACCCACTGACCCCGCGCTCCGGCTGTGGCCTAGGGCTCGCCCCTTCCGAAGGGCTGGTTCTCTCCTCAAGACACCTTGCACACCTGCCCCTCCTGCTGAGCCCTTAGCTGCTGCACCTTCTTCAGAAATGGCTGCAGGCGTAGTTGAGCCTCCCCCCACAATCCCGTCCCCTTCTGAGAGCTTTACACCTGGTAAAGCGTGCTGCCCCCAGGGGAACCCTAGCCAGGGGGAGCAGCCCCTTCTTCCACTTATCTTGCAGATGAGGAAACAGCGGCACAGGGCTCTCAGGAAATCTGTCCCATACCACAAAGGCAATACGTGAAGACATCATCACTTTTAGACTCAAAATGTTCAAAATGGATCTTGTCATCCTCCTGCTCAGAGGAGGCAGTCTGATCTTTCTGATCTTTAATAACCAGAGACATCTCTCTATTCTCCATTTCGACAGCAAATCCACTCATGCCGTAGGTCCCCAAGCTAGAGAGCCCGGGTCCGGCGACACCAGTTGTCAAACCGTCGAAGTCCTGTCATTTCCTTTCTCAATGTGCCGCTCAGTCTCAGTCATCAGCCACTGTCCCGTCCTCTGCGTGTTGCCCCAGGCCCACACACGTCACACCCCGATTCCAACGCCCCTCAGTAGGAGCCTCTGAGCTGACTCTTCCATCCTCAATCCACCTAGGTGCTGCTGCTGGACAAATCGGGTTAGGACCCAACTCTTATCCCTAAAATGGAGACAGGTTATCAAAAGCCTGAAAAAAATCCACCCACCTTCAAGATAAAGAGTATATTTTCTTTCTTTCTTTTCTTTTTTTTTTTTTTTAAGTTTTTTTTTTTTGAGACAGAGTCTCACTATGCAGTTCAGGCTGGCCTGGAACCTGGAGTGATCCTCCTGCCTCAGCCTCCCAAGTGCTGGAATTATAGGTGTGTGCCACCACACCAGGCCAAGAGTGTATTTTAAAGAATTTTTCCAGGGAAATAATCAGAGGTATACATATAAGTAAGAATATACAAAATATTTTCACAACAACAAAGAAAAATGAAAGCATTCCTAATGTCCTGCTGTGGAATCACTAATAACTTACAGTATTCTTATGTGAACAAATACAATGTCTAATGATTTCATAAACTATTTATAATATTAAGTTAAAAAAATACCTTACATACAAAAAATACCTTACAAAAACACAAATGCAATCAGAAGTATGGGTATAGAATAAAAGTGGAAAACCAGCAAATTAGCAGTGGTTGTGGTTATTTGTGCTGAATGATTTTTATTTTCTGCCTTACGTTTTTCTGATCTTTAATAACGGATATATTTATTTTACTTTTATAATTGGAAAAACTTTTCTTTTGCTAGTGCTAGGATGAGATGTCAGCCCTCACACATGCCAGGCAAATGCTCTGCCACAGAGCTACACTCTCAGCCTGAAAAACAATGTTTAAACAGCTAAATAAAAGAGAATCTAGGGTGACTGTCTACCGCCTGTCGCAGTAAGTCCCAGCTCCCCGTGGGCTTTCTGTCCCGGCCAGTCCTGCTTCTAAGGCCCACCAGGCTCCCCCTAAAGCCAGGTGCCCCCAGCATCTCCCCTCTCTGCGCCCCGCACCTGCCCCTGCCCAGCGGTCTTCCCCCTCTGCCGGCTCATCCCCCTCTACCCATCCTTCCAAGCCTCTAGGCCCAAAGCCTTTGCCAATGACTGCAGTCCACAGAACGCTCCTCAAGTTAGGCAGGGCCTGGAGTATTTGCTCACTTTGTGTTTTTGTTGGAACTTCTTAAATAGTGAGTCTCTTGCGGGCAGGGACCCCAAGCGCTTCTGCGGCCCCTTCCTGTCCCCGGAGCTGCACCAACCCACAGCCCCGGGCTGGACTCTGGAGGAGAAAGCCCGGTTTGAAAGCAAAGTACCTTATCACAGTGTCAAACTGGTTCAGGGCACGGCCCAGCTCCAGTCCATACAGAATTCCCCCGCTTCCGATCACCACACAGCGCCGACAGCGCTTGGCTTTCAAATGTTCAGGGAAGTCGTGCTCGGGCAGTATTTCCAGGAGGGACTGGACTTCACTGTAGAACGTGTGGAATCCAAAGGGAGGATCATACTTGTCCTCGGCCTCACTGGCTCCGGAGACCTTCTCCACAAAGGGCGCCAAGTCTGCGCTGTACCTGTGCTCAAATAGCCGCGCCATCGCCGTCTTCACAAATCTGGGCCGACATTCCTTTTGCAGGACTTGCTGAGCGTATCTCTGAGCTCTCTGGAATGGAATCACACTGATCTGAGTTTTAAAATCTCTCTGGAATTTTGTAGATGACACTTTGTCCTATGATGTCTGCGGTAGCTCCCGTGTTGACTGTTATCTTTAACACAGAACACTGGCCTTTCAGAGTTAATTTATGCTCAAGGACAGGAGGAAACAAAACAACCCGGGAGAATCGCAGGGCAAGAAGATAAATCCCACAAGGTTTTTTATTTCACTGCACAAACAAAGCTGCCAGGACTTCACCTTCTACTTCTGGCCTGACATTGTATGAAGAAATCTGGGTAAAAAAAATACTTCAAAGTGTTTTAGATTTCATGTTTCATAAATTTCTAACCCAAACTACATGACGTCTAAATACATTATGTCAAGTGAAATAAATCAGTCACAAAAAGACAAACAGTGCATGATTTCACTTATATGAGCTGCCTATAGCACGTCAAACTCATAAAAACACAGACCAGAGCGCTGGTTCCCAGGGACTAAGGACTAAGAGTGGGAGGGAGTTTTATGGGTACAGAGTTTTGATTTTAAGGTTTTTTAAAAGTTCTGGAGATTTGTTTCACAACAACGGGAATACACTTCATACTGAACGGCACGTGTCAATATGATTAAGATGGTAAATTTTATCTTATGTCTATTTTTTACTACAATTTTTTTTTAAAAAGGGCTTCGTATTTCAGGTTCCTACCCAGCAGGTCAGGAAATGGGCAAACTTATTAGTTAAGAGTAAGGAGCTTCAGTCTGAAAGGCGAGTTACCTTCAGTTCTATCAGGGGGCAACGCCCCATGAACAGAGATGTTGCCTGGTTTCAAATGCATGTTCCCAGCGGGTCAGTGGTTTGTGTCAGCAAGGCCAGCTGCTGAACGTCAGGCTGAGCGCACGGAACTCAGAACAGGCTGCAAACGCCTGTCTGCCCACCCACCTCCCTCCCTCTGGGCTCCGGCGGGGGATGCCGACTCCCAGCTGCTCAGCAGGCCATGTTCTCCAAGCTCCAAGCTTCCTGTCTGCCTCCACATCCAGCAGCCCTGGTCCTGCCTCACGCACACCTCCTCTCACTGGGTGACCTCACCTGCACTTGCGCATGCGCTGAGCATGTGTATGTGTGGTGTGAAGTCCTGTATGTCCCAGGCTACTTATTGTTAGGGATTTATCAGGTGTTTTGAACTCCATCAGTAACATCTGATGAGGACTCTCACTGTTACAGAGTTTTAGATGTTGCACAAACTATGTTTTTTTTTTTTGTACTGGGAATTGAACTCAGGACCTGACGCTTGCCAGGCAGGCACTGTGCCACTGAGCTATATCCCTGGCCCCTAACTATGTTTTTTCTCCCCACCTTGTCTTTATTTTTTTCCTGTACTGGGGGTTGAACCTAGGGCCTCCGCATTGAGCTACATCACAGCCTTTTAAATACTTAATTATTTTTGAGACGGGGTTTCACTAAGTCATAAATTGCCGGGGCCTCCAGACTGCCACCGTGACCAGTCGGTCTCATTATGTGTATTGTCTGATTCTTTCTAGGAATACATCTATCTTCTTGCAGCAGAAATAGTTAACAAACGTAGCTTCAGAAAAGTATTAGTGCCTGCGAAGAGCACATTGTCTGCATCTGAGGACTGGGCCCCAGCTCTGCAAGGGGAACCCATATTCTTGGAGTCGCAGAGATATGCTGCAGACCTGTGCTACTCACTGTCTCAGCTCCCCTGCGGACCCCTGGGGCATCTCGCAGGATGGTCACCAGCATCTTCACTCTGTGGGTCCCAGGTGGCCTCACAGCAAAGACCTGGGCTGACATTCACCAACCTGGCAACTGTCTCTCCAGGCCCTGAAACAACAGCTCTTTCCCACAGGAGGCCACTACCGAGCGCTGTTTGCACGCGGACTGGCATCGTGGTGAGGAATCAGTCAGAGACCCCAGCAAGGACACCGCCATGACTGCGCCCAGGGGAAGGCTCAGCCAAGCAGGTTACGGATGCGCCACACCGGCGGACGCCAAAGGAACAGAGGCCTGGGAAATGGAAGGGCCATCCTGACTACACGTATTCATCTCCAGACTCCAGGCCTGGGGGTCACGGACAGCAATTTTTAGAGATCAAAGAGCCTACTTCTTTCCTCTAGAATGGCATCCCAAGTGCTTGGTTCTACAGCTCTCCTCAGAAGGAAAGGAATGTGTGAAAAATGCCACATGAGACCCAGGAAAGCGGCCCCGTGGACTCCTGACTGGAAAGAGGTCAGGAGCGAGCCGGAAATGTGTGCACAGCTCCAGGACGGCCAGATCTTCCCTTTAGAAGTTGCATTTGGAAAGGAGTGAAATTTCATTCCACTTCTGTCCTGGCAAAGAGCTGGATTTCAGGCTTCAAATTTAATTTTCTAGACTGTGAGCAGGACACAAGGCTCTGAAGTCATCCTCCGGCTGTAACCCCTCTGGTGCCTGATTCACAGCTGAGGCCGGAACTGAAACCTGACGAACGGAGCTGTAAATGCCACCGGAAATGTCTAATGTCTTTTCTCCTCTTGCCTGAGCTCGCTTCAAGAGCTGTGACAAGCTGTGAGGAAGTCTCCCGGACACTTTCTTCTAACTGGAATCTTCCTCAGCCCCCCTGCTCTCTTCACGGCTCCCCCTGGGAGGCGAAGCTCCCCAGGAAGGAAAACCCGCTAGCCCCGTTAAAAGCAGACAGAATTTAAATAACAAAGCCATGGACCACATGCGAGTCAGCAGCTGCCTGGGGCTGGGGTCAAGTTGAAGCCTGACCACAAAGGGGCTCAAGGGAACAAACTTTGCTGATGAAAGGTCCCCGAGCTGTGCTGAGGCTCAGGCCATGGTGGTGTGACCCTGGGGTAGGGACAGGAAGCAGTGTTATGTCCCCTTTCTGCCCACGTGGCTCCACGCTGGGAGCTAAAGCAGCTGACGGAGGACTGACCGGGATATGCCAGCGCGGGGCCCGGATGGTATCACTCGGGTGCCCTAGGATGCAGGAACCGGTGAGGTTCTTGCAGGACACACCATTTGTCTCAAATTCAGGAATGCAAAGAAAGTTTTCTTAAAAGTCTTCTAGGCTGAGCCTGCAGGCTGCCCACAATTAAGGAATAAATAGACGTCTGGCAGTTCCAATTGTCAATGGTGTGGCGATTTGCCATGGAAAACCACAACGTGAAAATTCACTGATGGGAACTGAGAAAGCCTAAGTCATTTTCCTCAGCAAAATCTCTCCTTTCATTTTCACTCTATAATTTTAAGAATCATCCTTCTCAAAAACACAGGTGAGCGGCATAATTCTTTTTAGTAAGAGACCATGTTCTATTATATTTATCTATTTGTTTTTAAATTCGGGACATGGGCTGGGAAGGTAGCTCAGTGGCAGAGCACTGCCTGGTGTACGTGAGGCCGTAGGTCCAATCCCTGGCACCGCAAAGTAAATAAAAATATAACGAATTCAGGAGAGGGCGGGGCACTTACATGCAAGGAGGCTTTGGGTCTGGAGGTAACCAAATATGGGAAGGAGCCCAGCTCTGCTGCAGCGCCTGTGATCTGGGGGCTTTGGTTACCTTCTGAAGTTTTATTTTCACTTTCACTTCTACAAACATGGATACCGGTCCCTTCCTCCTGGGTTTGCCCCGATGTCCGAAGCATTTTGCCCAGTGCTTGGCACAGGTGAGGATTAAGTTCTTCACAGAGTTAATTTACATTTAAGTTACTCATCGCTTTAACCCAGTTAAAAGCAGACAAAATTTAAATGACAAAGCCATGGAAAGAATTTTACAGTAAAAGGATCCTCAGCCAGTGGGAGTCAGCAGTCGCCTGGGGCTGAGGTCAAGTTGAGGCCTGACCACAACAGGGACAAACCAGGGTGACTGGAAGGTCCCCAGACTGCTGAGGCTGAGGCGTTGGTGGCGTGACCCTCTGTGGTGACTAACCCTCACATGCTTCAGAGGAGTAAATGCTGTGGTATGACGGATGTTATCACCCTTAACTGTTAAGAAAATGTCATCAGAGGTAAAATGATACCAGACGCTGGACAGCTCTGAAACTATTTAGAGCATCTTGGGTAAAGCACTGTCCCTGGGCAAGGGTCATCACCTCTCACCTCTGGGAAATTCTAGGGTGGTCTGGGGAACAGAGGCGATGGCACCAAGGAAAGAAAAGCCTGGTGGGGGTGCTGGAGCCCCACTTCCTGACTGGCTCAGCCGGGCGCACCTCACTTGCTGCACACACAGGAGGCAAGGTCTGTGGAGTCCAAGAGAAAGCTATGAAGGAGAAGCCAAGGGAACTGGGCCATAGCTAACTATGCTGCACAGACCGCTGTCCCATAGTGATCTGCGGTCTTTGTATCTCTGAGAGGGCGAGGTGCAGACTGCTGCCGCCACTGAGCCCAAACCTACAGGTGTCCCTGCAAAGACTATGGTTGGTCTTATAACAACTGGCACTTTAAGGGACCTCTATTTGTTTGTTTGTTTCTTTGTTTCTTGAGACAGGGTCTTGCTGTATAGTTCAGGCTGCCCCTGAACTAACTATATAGCCCAGGCTGGCCTCAAACTTGCGGCAATCCTCCTGCCTCAGTCTCCCAAGTGCTGGGATTACAGGTGTGTGCCACCACGTCAGGTTTAAGGGACCTTTTTAAACAGAAAACACAAAACTCCACAACGATCACAGCTGCTCTTCTTCTGTGCTATGAACACAGGCTGGCCCACTGCAACTGGACATCGCTAGGGTCCTACAGGGCTGGCAGGGGCCACTCGCACTGCAAGATGCTGAATGTAACCAGTGAAGCTAACAGGGCCCCACCCTCCCGGCATGGAGACCTTCTGCCAGTATCCATGCAGGATCATTCAAATGGGCCCATGTGCTGCTGGTGGTGAAGACCAGATTGCTGCTGGCAGCCAGGAGCTAGGGTTTTCTTTGTAGGGAGCTTGTACTGAACTCCATCTCTCAGGGCCACACCAACAAAGTCCTCCACCCTGGGGAAGTGAGGGACAGTTTCTGTTTCTGAATTAGT